TCCTCCACTTTAACCCCTCCTCCACTTTAACCCCGCCTCCACTTTAACCCCTCCTCCACTTTAACCCCTCCTCCACTTTAACCCCGCCTCCACTTTAACCCCTCCTCTGCATCCCACCTTTGTGACTTCCCCTTTCAGTGTGAATGCCTTGCTTTAACCCCGCCTCCACTTTAACCCCTCCTCCACTTTAACACCGCCTACACTTTAACCCCGCCTCCGCAGCCCGTCTTTGTGACTTCCCCTTTAAGTATGAATGCCTCGTTTTAACCCCGCCTCCGCTGTAACCCCGCCTCCGCTGTAACCCCGCCTCCGCTGTAACCCCTCCTCTGCAGCCCGCCTTTGTGACTTCCCCTGAGTTTCAGCTCTCAGCTAACGCTGCTACAGATGCTCCTCCCCAAGCATTTAACATGGTTTCCCGCGGTCTCTGCTCCCCCCTGAATATTGCTTCATCTCAAATGGGTCTCAGCTCCCTACTAAACATTCTTCCTATCCTCACTCGCCCGTTCGCCTTGTTTGTCCTTGGACGGCTTCCTCTGTATCTGTGGAACTGTGTCACCTCCCTTCATTCCTGCCTCACCTCCTCCTCCCCCACCCTGAAGTTCCGTTTTACTTGCGTATTTATGTTTCACACATTGCTGGGGTCATGCCTGTCAGCTCTTTTTCAAATAAACTCCATGTCTCCCACCTTGCCGCTTTAGTTTTTCTGTGGTGTGCTGGAGCACATGGATGTTACACCTGTGCTCTTGCTAAATTTCCCCCCACACACACACACACACTTTGATGTGCTGCTCTAAGTTTGTGTGCTGTGGACTGAATTGTAATATCAACTACTGGTATTAGCATTAGCATTAGCATACCTCCTTCATACACTGTTGATTTCCAGGGTATCTCATAACCAGTGTCACATGATGTCTCCATCCAGCTGTCACATGATGTCTCTGTACTACAAGTGTCATAAGCAGGCATTAAGCTGGCCAGCCTGTGGTGTGGGACGGTCACGTGTTATCATCCTAGAGGGATCGCTACCCAGTTCCATTACCCAGGTTACAGGATATGCTGTGGTCAGGGACAAAGCAGCTGACCAATCGGAAAGCTTCTGCCCCCCAGCCAATGAGCACGGAGGTATCACAGTTCCTCCGCCTCTCGACACAAGGGTCAGGCCTCATTGGGACACTGCGATGGAATGACAGCTCTGATGGGCATGTCTCTCTCTGCCTGCCAACACGTCTTTGTAGCTTCCTGTCTCGGCATGGGACCTGTAGGTGGCAGCGATGAGCGACATCACATAGATTATGCAGCTTGACATTGTAGGCGAGCGCTAATGCATTAGCACCCAGCTATCACATGTAAAGCACAAGAGAATATGAACAGCACAGGGACCCCATCTTTTCTGTTTTCTTATTTTTCCCATCAGGCAACTTGTTTCCCTGTGTCATCCAAAATCTGTTAACGGAGGCCTTTGTGGGAGCGCATTTTCGGAAGGAACAGCAGTTTCCTGGGCGCCCCCTCACCACACACAGGGTGCAGAGCACTAGTCACAGGTGTGAGTCACAGAGAGGGGGAGGGGGGAGCAGTGTCAGGTGTTTTACTCTGTTCTGAGAGGGCAGGTGTTTGCCTGCACACAGCAGGCCTCGGGCCCCCAGGAGCATTGTGATAGCCCTGCCTGAACGTGTGTAACCTTACCACAGTGTGTGAGGTGTTAGGAGACTCTGTGTCCGTGTGCATGAGTGTGTGCCTGAATGTGAAGGGTGTGGGCACGTTTCTGGGACTGTACTATGTACGTACATGCCTTTGTTCCTGTGTTTCTCAGTATATGTGTGTGCCTGTCTTCCTGCATTTCTCTGTGTTTCTCTGTGTATGTGTGTACCTTTATTCATGCGTTTCTCTGTGTATGTGTGTGCCTTTGTTTCACCGTGTATATGTGTGCCTGTATTCCTGTGTTCCTCTGTGTATCTGTGTTCCGGTGTTTCTCTGTGTATGTGTGTACCTGCATTTCTCTGTGTATGTGTGTACCTGCATTTCTCTGTGTATGTGTGTGCCTTTGTTCCTGTGTTTCTCTGTGTATCTGTGTGCCTCTGTTTCTGTGTGTGTGTGTAGGTGCCTGTATTCCTGTGTGTTTTGTGTTCTCTCTCTACGTCTGGCTTGTGAGAAAATCTGGGGCCACAAAGTTAACAGCAGTGACTATGAGCCTCAGACAGCAGCTCTATAAATAGGAGGGAATAGATGGAAATGAATGAACAAGTCAGCAGATCTCTCTCTCTCTCACACTCTCTCCATTTCTCTCTCCCTCCCTCCATCCCTCTCTAATATAATGAACGCCCCACCGTCTGGACAGTGGGGCTCTGCCTCCGTGTCTCTCTCGCTTTTGTAGTCTGTCCCTGTGTCCTGTGTCTCTGTGTGTGACAGTATGGTCAGCACTATAGTGTTTGCTATTTTGTGGACATTGTCAAGGAGAGGTGATGGTCCCAGTTAAGGGCATCTGCTGTCACGCCCAGCCAGCCTCTCTGCACTAAGACACAGGTTCCTGCCAATCAGGGCCTGATCTCTCTCCAGTCCTGCAGCCTTCAGCTGATAGTCATCAGTATCATCTCCATCACTGAGGACATCCCTGCTCCCGCAGTCACTGATCCATCCTGAGCCATTAGCACCATGCTTCTGTGACACTGGGTTTTTTTTTTTGCAGTACAAGAACAATACAGCTGGTTATTCGCAGTTTTTAGCTCATGTTTGTATTATATGACTGTCTGATCGCATGACTTTCTCGATTCCCTTTAGAATCTTGTCCACGGTGGGATCCGACTTTGATCTCCGGACGCTGCGAGCAGTGCGGGTCTTAAGGCCCCTAAAGCTGGTGTCCGGAATTCCCAGTGAGTAGGAAATTGTGCAAGATTGTGGGACTGAATCCAGGGAACAGAATCCTGGCCAGCAGACAAATGAAATCATAGCTGTGTTGTTTAACCTGCATTTCCTCCCCCAGGCCTGCAGGTGGTGCTGAAGTCCATCATGAAAGCCATGATCCCCTTGCTACAGATTGGTTTGCTGCTCTTCTTTGCCATTCTCATGTTTGCCATTATTGGTCTCGAGTTCTACATGGGCAAGTTTCACACGACCTGCTTCGACCTTATCACCAGTGAGTCTCTCGTGCCCTCTACCATCAGTACAAATTTTTTGTTTATCTGTGATATTTTTCAGTTTTTCTTCTGATGGACCAGATAGGTACTGTTCATTCACAGAGATGGAGTGGCGCCATCCCTGAAAGAAGCTTCTTTTTCCTTCCCTGTCTTAGGAGAGATCCGAGAGGAATTCCCCTGTGGAAAAGAACCCCCATCCAGATTGTGTCCCAATGGCACGGAGTGTCGGGGATACTGGCTCGGTCCCAACTATGGGATCACCCAGTTCGACAACATCCTGTTTGCCGTGCTCACTGTCTTCCAGTGCATCACCATGGAGGGCTGGACTGACCTGCTCTACTATGTGAGTCGAGGGTTTGAACAGAAGCACGTGAATGAACCAGTTTGAAGTGTCATTGAATGAAGCTGTGTGAGTAGCCTAGTGCTCCCATTTGCTGTCGCACCTATCTGTCAGGGACCGATGGACCCACCCCCACAGTATCAGCCGTGGGGTATGTCATCAGAGCTACTGTTCACCCTCAGATGTTAATGACAGTGAAGGCTTCTCCTTTGACCCACAAGGCAGCCTTAGAATGCAGTTCTTGTTGTAGGGCTGTGTCCAGCACCCTCCTGTGTCACTTCCTGCCCCCCCCCCCCCCCCAACCCTGTGCAGTCATCCGGATGTACTGTTAGTGTATTTCAGTAATTCCGTGAATGGGGCCCTTCTGTGACCCAGCAGTTCAGTAATGAGGCAAGCCAAGTACACCTCACTGGCTGGGGGGGGGGGCACATCATAGGTTAGGAGGGTGGTGGGATTTAGTGATGCTTGACTCCGCTCAGACCTCTGCAGAGACACACAAAGACATAAAGCGAACCCAAGAACGGTCACCATCTGCATGGATCACATCATTCCCCCATCCGTTCCCCTTGTGTCTCTTCATCGTTCTAGCCACACCCTATCCACCCTTCCCTACCTCACACCCCTCACACCCTCCCTTCCCTCTCTGTCACTCTCAGTCCCCATTGGTGCTGCTCTATAAATAACAGTCCATCTTCAGCTGGAGATGTTTCGTCAGCTGCTGGAGAAGAAGCTAATGAAAGCGTAATGGCTAGAAAGACGGCAGTGTGTGCACAGTAAGCGGAGAGTCGGACGGGGAGGCCAGGCCAAAAATACTGCAGTGTGTGTACAGTGAGCGGTGAGTCAGATGGGGAGGCAAGGCCAGAAAGACTGCAGTGTGTGTACAGTGAGCGGTGAGTCGGACGAGGAGGCTAGGCCAGAAAGACTGCAGTGTGTGTACAGTGAGTGGCGAGACGAATGGGGAGGCCAGGCCAGACAGACTGCAGTGTGTGTACAGTGAGCGGCCAGTCGGATGGGGAGGCCAGGCCAGAAAGATTGCAGTGTGTGTACAGTGAGCGGAGAATCGGACTGGGAGGCCAAACCAGAAATACTGCAGTGTGTGTACAGTGAGCGGTGAGTCAGATGGGGAGGTCAGGCCAGGAAGATTGCAGTGTCTGTACAGTGAGCGGAGAATCGGACTGGGAGGCCAGGCCAGAAATACTGCAGTGTGTGTACAGTGAGCGGCGAGTCAGATAGGGAGGTCAGGCCAGGAAGACTTCAGTGTTTGTACAGTGAGCGGCGAGTCGGATGGGGAGGCCAGGCCAGGAAGACTTCAGTGTGTGTAAAGTGAGCAGCGAGGCAGACAAGGAGGCCAGGCCAGAAATACTGCAGTGTGTGTACAGTGAGTAGCGAGTCAGATGGGGAGGCCAGGCCAGGAAGACTGCAGTGTGTGTACAGTGAGCAGCGAGGCAGACAAGGAGGCCAGGTCAGACAGGAGGACGTCTGGCTCAGCCGCTAATTATTTGTGTTTTTCTTACCGGCTTTTGTCCCTCAGCTCTCCATAATGCCACCTATATGATATTTGTGCTATATTAAGCTTCAAGACAAAGTGATGTGTCTGCTTAATCATTTGGATTAAAAATTTAAGACCTTCATGATAATGCAGCATTCAGGCCTTTTCTTAGATTATTATTTTACATCACACTTAGCTCTGTATCATATGCTAAATAAGTAAATAAATCTGACAGGGCCGCCAAACTTTAATGTTCCAGCGCTACATAGACTTAGGTGTAAGGTGACAAAGTAAGAGCTCAGTTAACCTTCTGGGAGTCCTGGCTAAACAGCCTTGATGGACACGTGGCCCTGCTCTCTGTGCTTAGTCACAGCAGATTCTTTTGCCATTGCTGTTAGCGTGGAGCTGTTAGCATGGAGCTAATAGCATGGAGCTGTTCGCGTGGAGCTGTTAGCGTGGAGCTGTTCGCGTGGAGTTGTTAGCATGGAGCTGTTCGCGTGGAGCTGTTAGCGTGGAGCTGTTTGCGTGGAGCTGTTAGCATGGAGCTGTTAGCATGGAGCTGTTAGCAGCTTAACCAAACACGCTGCTCACCCTTTGAACAGCAGAACCTTCACGCATCAGGAGGTCCACCGCCTGTCCATCTTATGCTGTCTCAAAGTCATCCAAGTCCAGTGTGAAATCATATCAAATGCCAAGATACACAGGAAAACAGAAGCGACGTTCTTTACAAATGATGGCCTCTCTTGGCTGGGGTCTTGGACAGGGTATTATAATCTGCACCAATCAGGAATGCTGGGCCCCCCGCTGTTTTTAGGGAGCATAAATCATCCTGTTTTGGCAACGGCAGCAGGACCTCTGGCTGCCAAGGACTTGATCACACAGGTTTTAAAACTCTCCAGCATGGTGTCATTAATGCTCTACTGGATAAACATCAAGAGGTCTTCATAAATACCCGGATAATCATGCATCGTATCTGTATTGTTACACAGAATATCCCATTTCTACTACGCAAGCTCAGCTACAGGCTGGGCTCCTTTTTCTGGCTGTATTGACTGCAGTGAGGCTCACTGGGGAACTCATGCAGGGTCAGGGTTCAAACCCCATCTATATCTGTCTGTGTCATTCAGGTTAAATCCTGCTGTCTAAAGACATGCTGTTGACCTTAGCAAGCATGTCCACTCTTTTCTGTTTTCAATAATGTTGGCATGCACAAGGGGAGGGGGGTGGGCAGCCAGTTGAGGTTGGACCCCCAGAGGATTTTTTTCCTCCCTACTTCGCAGTTTTTGCTTCCCCTCCTCCTTTGTCATCTGGCTTTATTTCTTTCATTTCTTTGTCTTTCCTTTCCCTGTTTTGTATTGCTCTCACTTAATGAAAAGCACCTTGGGGTGACTCTGTTGTAAAAGGCGCTATATAAAAATTAATTGAATTGAACTGAACTGAATTGGCATCTCCAGCTAGCTCATCATGTATGTGCTATGATGAATTAGCATCCCATCCGGGAGGTACCCCTGCCTTGTGACCTGTGCCGCACGGCATTGACTCTGGGGCCCTCGTGACATGCACAGGATAGGTGCTTAGAAGATGTATAGATGTTAACTGTGCACACTTACAAATATGTAGTCTTGTCTGGTGTTTTATGGTGCAATATCATAGTACCTCTGGTCAGTGCCGTAACTCTCTGGCACCTGCATAGATCACGGTGATGTGTGGGCTTTATATTCCCGCAGCAAGGAAGTGCTGTCTGATCTTCCCTGGCTAGTGAAACACTGTGTATGTACACTGTGTCAGCCTTAGGTCTCGGATTGGTTACTCTTAACTTTGCTTATGTATGCCATCAAATATAGAGTCATTTGTGTTACTCACTCATCAGACTTGGTGTTGTTTTTCTCCACACCTCTCAGTAGGGTCTGTTCAAGAATCTCACTGGCTAAGAGTTACGATCCCATTGAACAGAAAGCAGAAGTCATCCATTATTGTTTGTATTATAAACAGTGTGCAGCTCCTTCTGCTTTCTGATTAGACCCCAAATCCCAGTACCCACAAAGCACTGTGCTTGATCTCCCTCACTTCCACTTCCTGTCTGTCTGTCAGTCCCCCTCTATCTTCCTCTCCCGTTTATCTTCCCTGGCATTGTTCCCCGAGGGCATTTGCTTATCAGGGAGTGGGAGCCTTATAGCCTAAAGTGCCTTTCCTTGCAAAGAATGATATTGACTATTACACAATTATATTTCATATCACATTATAGTGCAATATTATAAGTTACAGTAACAGCCCGATGCTCTCTTGCGCTTTCACACAAACTGAAGTATCAATTTCATCCTAAGAAAAGCCGTGTAGCCCTTCCCTCTTCTAATTAATCCAAAGTGATTCCATTTGCAGGAATATTCACAATGAATGGCAGTGTGTTAACTACTTCCTGTTAGAATAACATAAAGCATTGCTTTGTTGATCACAGTATAGCTTGTCCACTAAGTCTAGATAAAAGCATGGAGCCAAATATGGAATATTCTGGGAAGAATATTTACTCATTGCCTTACTCATTTGTAAAGCCCTGAAACAAACACCATAAATTACCCACAGGGCCCAAAGGATAATAAAAGCATATCACCACTTATAAATAATCCGCATAGTTAAATGTAAAGTCATTTCTCTGGTGCAGTACGACACCTTACAGAATGTTCCGGATCACCTATGGAAACTCGTGTGAAGTTGGTTTCGCTGCAGCGGAAAACTTTTTGCCAGTGTTGTTTTTCCGTGGCTTTGCTGCGCTCTTGAGAAGCTGTCACCGTAGATTTATACATCTGTGGCTTCCCCTGTCACCTTTGGATGAGAGCAGTGGGCTCTGTATGTGGCTGGGTGGGGTTGCAATTCTGCAGCATCAGCACAAGTCCTCTGTACATCTCTGTCCCCTCCTCAGAGCAATGATGCCTCAGGAAGTGCCTATAACTGGATGTACTTCATCCCCCTGATCATTATCGGCTCCTTCTTCATGCTGAACCTGGTTCTGGGAGTGTTGTCAGGGTGAGATTCACTGCACTCTCCTTCCCTGTCCATGGGATGGACATTTCCTCAATTTCCACTAAGTCTCCACCGTTACATCCATCCCAGCCTGCTGTTGATGCCGGATGTGTCTCTTAGGGAGTTTGCCAAGGAAAGGGAGCGGGTGGAGAACCGGAGCGAATTTCTCAAACTACGCAGACAGCAGCAGATTGAGCGGGAGCTTAATGGCTACCTAGAGTGGATTTGCAAAGCTGGTATGTCGCCGCTGACAGTCAGAGCAACTGGACCGAGCTCTGTACTGAACACTACTGATGGAAATTTTGTGTGTGTGTATCTATGTGTATTTACGGGCTGATTAAAGGAATCATTGTCTATTTTGTCTCTTTAGAGGAGGTTATCCTGGCGGATGAGGATAACGACACAGATGATCGAATGCCCTTTGATGGTATTTGACAGCTCTCCTTACTTCTTCATGCTCTCTCTGTCACATTGCTTTTTCTTCTTTCGTTTACCGCATCTTCTTTCATTCGCTCTTTCCTTCCATCTGTCTATTTCTGTCTCTACAAAATCCGGCGGCCCACCCTGGCCACATGAATCAAGAAACAGGCCTTGTAGAAAAACCCTCTAGCGTCTTCGGTATGTGATCTTCCTCCCGTAGGTTCCCGGCGACGGCCCACCATGAAGAAGAGCAAGACTGATCTTCTTAACCCAGAGGAAGGAGAAGGTGACATTGCCGTAGGTGAGACTGCAAGGGCGGTGGTGGAGAGAGAGACACATAGCCAGGGCAGTAATTGGTCAGTAACTGACCTAGGGAGTTGTGGTGCCGCGGAATGGAGAGCGATCAAGGAGAAGGTCAGTGAGACGATGAAGCACGTGTGGAACCAGTGGCCTCATACCTCAGCTCGCTTTCTGCAGGTTCACCATTTGCCCGGTCCAGTATCAAGAGCTCAAAGCTAGAGGGCTCCTCCTTCAACAAGAAGGAGAGACGCCTGCGCTTCTTCATCCGCCACATAGTGAAGACGCAGGCCTTCTACTGGACCGTGCTGTGTCTGGTGGGCCTCAACACGCTGTGCGTGGCCGTCGTGCACTACAACCAGCCGGACCTGCTCTCCGACTTCCTCTGTGAGTTCCCATGCCATCCCCATTCCAGGAGTACTAACCCTAACTAGCGAGAGTGTGGATCTTCCTCGGCCATGTGGCAGTTTAGAGATCCACAGCTAAGACTGTTGATTGTGAAGCTCACAAGATAACCTGAGTGCATTGCTACCAGTTTCCCGTAATAGTTTTTGAGGTCTCCGATATCTCATTCACATTTACAAAGCTCATTGACAGACTAATTTGGCTGGGTCACCTTAACCTTATGTTGTAGGGAATTTATGCTGTTAGACAATCTCATCCGAAATTATCACTAATGCTTGTGAAGCTTGTGATTCTATTCAAATGTCCCACAAAAGTCCCCCTCTACAAGCTCAGTAAGTCTGCAGCCGTCTTTGTACGATGTGACGTCTGGTGCATGATGCCAAACTCCTACCTTGACTGTGCTTTCAGTATTGTTGTCTGTCTCTGCTTCTGTTTCCAGATTTCGCAGAGTTCATATTCTTGGGCATTTTCATGTCGGAGATGTTGATAAAGATGTATGGCCTGGGAACCCAGCCTTATTTTCACTCGTCCTTCAACTGCTTTGACTGTATTGTGAGTTTACCGCAGAGAACTGTGTCCGCTCCCTCCATATTGTCATCAGAGTTGTTTATTTTCTCAAACTGAATGAACTAGTCTGTGTATCATTGGCTTATTGGAATGTTTTCTTCGGCTTAGCTTTTGATTGTATACAAGCTGTCGGTGGCGAGGATGCAGATGATGCTTACGGTACCCCGTGTCCTGCTGTGTGGCAGGTTATCGTGGGGAGCATATTCGAGGTGCTCTGGGCAATCATCCAGCCTGGAACCTCCTTTGGCATCAGCGTCTTACGAGCTCTCAGGCTGCTCAGGATCTTCAAAGTAACAAAGTGAGTCTCTAGCACCTGCCCTGAGCTCCTGAAATGGTGTCATGTTCACAATCTGGCTCTCTGGAGCTTGTCTCTCTCCGCTGGACTGAGCACTCCCATCCTTCTCCAGGTACTGGGCGTCTCTTCGGAACCTGGTCGTATCTCTCCTCAACTCCATGAAGTCCATCATCAGCTTGCTGTTCCTTCTGTTTCTCTTCATCGTGGTCTTCGCTCTGCTGGGAATGCAGCTGTTCGGCGGCCAGTCAGTAGCCGGCTAGAGCCTCCCATGACCTGGCTGACCTTTCCGAATTTACATGCCAGTGATTTAAATGTCTGTCGTCTGTTGTGTTTTTTTATTTATCCAGATTTAATTTTGAGAGTGGCACACCTCCCACCAACTTCGATACATTTCCTGCAGCAATAATGACAGTTTTCCAGGTAAGTGGAGGAGGAGGAGGAGGAGGAGGACAGGTGAAAATCCATTTAGAGGAGTGTGTCATCCTTTGCACCACACAAGGCGCAGCTCAGAAAAATGGCTCCTCACTCTGCCTCTCAGTTCCCTTATTTTTTAAGAAATTGCAGAGATTCTCAAGCACTGACGTCAGTGCAGGTCTGAGCGAAATGTGTAACGCTGAATTATTAAAATCAACATCTTATGCAATCTTCTAACTCTGGTCTGCAGTAAAGGCTTCTGAGTAAAAGTCTCTTTGTCTTCGTGAGAATTGCATGTTCAAAACATTCCCTGTTAGTGTGTTCTGTTGGTTCCCAGCACCATGAATGGTTTGTGTTGTTGGCTGTCTCCCTGTGTGCCATCTTAACGTGTGAATGTATGAATTCGGGTTTCTCTCTGACAGATCCTGACAGGAGAGGACTGGAACATGGTCATGTATGATGGTATCGAGTCTCAGGGCGGCGTGAACAAGGGCATGGTCTTCTCCATCTTTTTCATTGTCCTGACACTCTTCGGCAACTGTATCCTGTTCTCCAAATCGCAGCGCCTGTTTTAGGCTGTCACACGTACCATGATCATAATAGGGTTGAGGTTATTGACTGCTTGCTCAAATTTATGGATTTAAATTCAGCTCCAGGTTGAAAATTAAGAGCTGGTGAGATTGCATGTGAGGTGCCCTCTGTATGGCGAACGCTGTATGGCCTCCTTCATCAACGTGCCCTGATATGTTTCAGTTTCTTGTATTTTCCCATGACATCAGCTCGGCTTTCCTTGACGCCCTCCTTTCAGACACTCTGCTCAACGTATTCTTGGCCATTGCTGTGGATAACCTAGCCAACGCCCAGGAGCTGACTAAGGTATGGCAGCAGCTGGCCTGCCGGCGCTGGCCGCACTCTCAGGCCTTCACTGTTAGGCCGTCGTTCTTCTCCTGCGCTCTGAAGGACCAAGTGTGCACACTTTGTAGGGTGCCCGTGAGCGGTCTCTCCCCTTGGGTCTGCGGCCAGCTCCTCCTCTCACGGCTGGCCTGTTCTTTTCCAGGATGAGCAGGAGGAGGAGGAGGCCGCCAGTCAGAAAATCGCCCTCCAGAAAGCCAAGGAGGTTGCGGAAGTGAGCCCGCTGTCCGCAGCCAACCTGTCCATCGCCGCGTAAGTCTCTCTTTCTTCTCCCCAACATGCTATTTCTGTGCAAAATCCTCAGCGGCCTGTCCCTCAACATCCCCTCGAACCAGTTTCCAGAGGGACGGCTCCCCGGGGATGCTTCCTCTCTGTGTCTTCGACCCCGCCCCCCTCCTTCGTTAAAACAATCCACTTCTTGGGAGAATCATGTCAGACCTGATAAGGGTCTCCAGAATAATGCGAGTGTGTGGGGGGTGGCAATCTAATTAGACACACACATGCTGTAGTACAGGAGCAGGAAACACTCATCTGCCTGCAGTAGGATCTTTAGATAGTCGTAGCCGGATGGTGTTGGTGTTGGTTGGTGTTTTCTCCATCCCAATGTAGCTGAAAGGCTTGGTTGGAATAACACAGGTTCATTCTGTGATTCTGGGCTTCGGAGATCTGAGACCGTCAGCTCTGACAGACAAACCGTCAGAGTGAGACCAACATTGCGCTTGGAACTTTGATTATTATGTAAAAAATGACGCCATAATCTTCACCTTAGGGAGGGAATTAGATTTTTAAATTAGATATCTGAACAGGAGGGGCTCTCAAGAACATAATGTACTATTCTGATGCCGAGGATTTCCCCGGCATGCAGTCACCTATCGAAGCTGCTTCAGTGCTCTTTAGACTATGGCTGTGTTACGGGAATGTGTCTTTCTGCGGGTATCGATGTCCAGTTTGAGAAACGGCAATGGCTGGTGTTGGGTGACTTGACTAGGTGGCCTGGATTTTTTTACTGGGCATATCCTAGCAGGGTGTGTCCTCCTGGAATTAGGCTGTCAGGGTTGAGATCTCCACATGCATGTCATCTGTTTCCTCTTCAGAGTGACAGTAAGCACAGAGCGTGTCAACGCAGCCCAACATTCGCTGGACTGGTATTTATTCATTTACTGGTTCTGTTCCTTGCTTCCTCTCTACTCCTTTGCCACCTTTGCCTTTTGTCGTCTTCCTTGCTCTCGTTGTACCTCTGGCCCTCTGTAGCTGTGCAGGCTTATAGTTACCTCAGGCTCTCGCCTCTGGCCCTGATTCCCTCCTGTGCCCATATAGATGACGGGTGTTTCTCCACTGTCCTCCTCGCTCGCTCTCTCTCTAGCTCTCTCTCATGTTATGCGTCGTTTCCTGCAATGTTGCTGTTTTGTGGTTTGCATCGGGGCTCTCCCGAGCATCACTTTGGGAAATCGATGTTACTCGATTTGTGTCAGCCCCTGTGTTGTCACTCTTGGCACTGTGAGGTGACTCTCACCCCTGCCTCTATGTGGGTCGAGGACCCTCTGTCCCTCCAGCCTCTCTGTCGCACGAAGCTCCTACAGAGGACCACAGTCTCGCACCATGTATGGCTCCCTTCTACCTCTCTCCTTGATCCCTCTGTGTTGCTCCGTCTGTCCTGTGTGCAGTAAAGAACAGCAGAAGAACCACAAGGGCTCCAAGTCCGTGTGGGAACAGCGAACCAGCGAGCTACGCAGACAGACCCTCATGACCAGCCGGGAGGCTCTTTACAACGAGCTGGACCCGGAGGACCGCTGGAAGGTGGGTTCCGGCTCTGCTGAAAAGGGCCATTTTCTTAGGGAGCATGTTGGCATTCACTGGAGGTAACATTTGTTGTGTACCACCTAGGTGTCTTATTCGCGCCACATCCGGCCCGACATGAAGACCCACCTGGACCGGCCGCTGGTGGTGGATCCTCAGGAGAACCGCAACAACAACACAAACAAGACCAGGCCATGTGACGAACAGGAGCAGCGCCTCGGCCAGCAGCGTGCTGAGGAGTTCACGCGCAAGCAGGCCCGCTACCATGAGCGAGGCGGTGGAACGAGGCAGCCCTACGAAAGGGCCGACTCTACCGAGTCCCGCCGGGGCCGCAAGGAGCACGAACCGGGTCAGAACCAGCACCCCTACCCTCACCTGGACGGCCCTGACGACCGCAACCGGGACCCCCATCGCCGGCACCAGCACCGGCCGGCGGCCGGCCGTGCCAAGGAGGGACGCAGCATGTCCCCCCGCGGCGAAGGGGGTCCCGTGGAGCACCGGCGACCTCGCCAACACCGCCGCCCACCAGAGGACGAGGATGGGGGAGGGGGACGAGGCAGCCGGCACAGAGGCCCACCGGGCGAGGGGGGGAACCGGAGCAGGCCGTCTGACGGTGACTGTGACCACATGGATGGTGGGGATCGCAGACAGAGACGCCATCGCCACGGTGCCCAGTCCACATATGACAACGACGGAAAGAGGGACCGAGACCGGGAGCGTGCCCGGCAGCACCGGGTCCGGAAGTGAGTATGGAGGGAGCGGAATAAAATGCATGCCGTCCATTTTAACTGTCTGCCAACTGTGTTCTTCTGCTCCTCACGTTTCTTTGGCCTTCACCCCCTCTTCCTCCTCCTCCACTCCCTCCACACGCAGAGACGGCCACGGGAATGGACCGCATCTGTCCACCACCCGGCCGATTCAGCAAAGCCTGACCCGGCAGGACAGCCAATATAGCGAGGACATGGACAACATGATGAACAGCAAGTTGGCCACGCAGCCCACCGTCACCGCCGCTCGCAACCACACCTCCCCCCATATCCTGTCTAATCACAGCCCCTCGTCCCTCCCAAGTCCTGCCAATCACGCAAGCAGCCCTGTCCTGTCCAACAGTACGCCCAATGCTGTCAAGGCTCCCGGAAACAGCAACACAGAGAAGGCTTCTGAGAACAGCCTCATCCTCACGAACCCAGCGTCCACCCCTACTAAGACAAGCACCAAGAAGCCGGATCACACCACAGTGGACATGCCACCGGTGTTCCCCTCCAACAATGCCATCCTGCAGGGTGGGCACAGCCGCACGCATGTTTACCTTACTCTCCCTATTAGGCATTGTAATGGAGCCTTACGTTCTTAACATTATGCATGGGGTCGTGAGTGTGGACTCACTGTGCGCGTGCACATGTGTGAGAGGAAGCGCGAGGCGATGCTGTCAGGCTTGTCTGCATCTCTTGGCTTCCTGTGCACTTCTCCTCTCATCACACTCTCATCTCCTCTTGGCTCTGCAGTAAATAAGAATGCCAACACGGAGCCGTTGCCGAAGAAGGAGGAAGAGAAGAAAGAAGAGGAGGACGATGATGATAAAGGCGATGAGAACGGACCCAAACCCATGCCACCCTACAGTTCCATGTTCATCCTGTCCACCACTAACCCGTAGGAAGGCCTGCATGGCCCCTGGCTGTCTGTCTGCCAACCTGTCTGTCTGTTTGTCTGTCTGTCCCTCCAACTGTTTGCTTGCCTGGCTGCATGTCTGTCTCTCTGTCAGTCTGACTGTCCGCCTGTCTATATGTCTGTCTCTGCCTGACTGCCTGTCTTGTCTGTCTGCCTCTCTGTCAGTCTGACTGTCCGCCTGTCTATATGTCTGTCTCTGCCTGACTGCCTGTCTTGTCTGTCTGCCTCTCTGTCAGTCTGACTGTCCGCCTGTCTATATGTCTGTCTCTGCCTGACTGCCTGTCTTGTCTGTCTGCCTCTCTGTCAGTCTGACTGTCCGCCTGTCTATATGTCTGTCTCTGCCTGACTGCCTGTCTTGTCTGTCTGCATCTCTGTCAGTCTGACTGTCTGCCTGTCTGTCTATCCATCTGCTTGCCTGCCTGTCTCTCTGTCTGTCTGTCTGTGTATCTGTCTGCTTATGTCGACTGTCTCTGGAGTTTTCATACAGTGTAGTCTACAATGAAGTTCTGTTGTCCGTTGTTCTTCAATTTTGCCACAGGGTAGTAACAATGCATTAGCATAGCATGATATATTAGCACAGAATGATGCATTAGCATAGCATGATATATTAGCACAGAATGATGCATTAGCATAGGATGATATATTAGCTTAGCCGGATGTATTAGCGTAGCATGATATATTAGCCTAGCGCTCATGTGGTCCCCATGGACAGACAATGCAGGTCTCACCGGTGTTCTGACGTTATCCTTTGTCCAGGTTCCGCAGGCTGTGTCACTACATTGTGACTTTACGTTATTTCGAGATGTGCATTCTGCTGGTCATCGCCATGAGCAGTATTGCCCTGGCGGCAGAAGACCCTGTGCAGCCCGACTCACCCCGAAACAACGTGAGAGGGTGCACCTGACCACAAGTCTACCCGCCTCGCACAGTATTACTGCTGTTTACTGCTCCTACATTCTCTCGTCTTTCTGTCCGTTTGCAGGTTCTGCGGTACTTTGACTACGTCTTTACTGGCGTGTTCACATTCGAAATGTTAATCAAGGTGAGGGTCGCTACAGTACTCTTGTGTGCAGGACTGTGTGCTCAGCAGTCCCCTGTGTTCACAAAGCTGCTCCTTCTCTCTGTTGCAGATGGTGGACTTGGGCCTTGTGCTTCACCAGGGCTCCTACTTCCGGGATCTGTGGAACATCCTGGACTTTATAGTGGTTAGTGGTGCCCTGGTGGCGTTCGCCTTCACGTAAGTGTCACCCCCGACGCCCCTCTTCCACGACCTCCCACTTTTTGCTCAGTCTGCCCCCTGCCTGTCTGGAGGCCACATTGCTACCCCACTAGCATTATGGAGCCCAGTATCGCCCTCCCCCCTGCCTGACTGATCCCCCCTCCCCCGTCTCGTTCTGCCATAAATTATTGTCCTTCATGTCCCCTCAGCTCAGTCATGTGACACTCCTGCCCGCTCTCTCTCTCTTACACACGCGCACACACACACACTGTCAGCTGGTCCGTGACTTGGCCCCTCCTGAACAGCTGTCCATTCAAGCCTATGGCAGCTTTACCCCCCTGCCCCCCTGGGCTCATGTCCAGACTCTCCGTAGTCCCCATCTATTATGGGAGGGGTCTACCTGCCCCCCCCCCTCATCCCCAGCCACCTCCCCATCCTTCTCTCTGTATCTATGTTCTCCTCACCCACCCAGTTAAGCCCAGCAGCCCTTCTGTGACCCTTTTTCCTCCCACCCCCAATACTACCCCCACCCCCACAAAAAAAGCCCTGAGACCGGCTGCCTCCGGCTCATTTCCGTGGGGGTGACGACCCCAGGCACCTGTAACCCTTTAGTGCCCAGGCAGTTCTGGAACAGCAAGCTGTGTCCCCCCCCCCCTCCCCTTCTGGAGCAGGTATTTCAGCCAAATTTCTCTGCACGGCCCGTGGAGCCTGCTGGGGGTGCTGTGAGGGGGGTGGGGAGGCTGGCAGCACAGCGGCCGCAGGGACAGGAGACTCTGCGTGGCATGATGCTATTCAGAGGCCTGCCTTTGTAAGACGAGCCTGTGTCTGTGCACTGGTGTGTGGACACACTCCTCAGGTCCCAGGCTGAGCACAGCAGAGCAGAGCCAGAGGTGCCAGGCCAGCTCACAAATGGGTATGGCTTGTGCCAGCGCCTCCTAGAGGAATGTCACGGAATTACAACATTTTAATAATCAGTTATTAACCTCTAAGGATGACAGCAACTCGCAGACTCATACATGGATTTGGCCTCTGCCAGCACCTGCCAGAGGAATGTAACAGAACTACAACATCTCATTAATCAGTTATTAACCTCTATGGATGACAGCTGTTCATAGATTCATACATGGATCTGGGCTGTGCCAGTGCCTCCTGGTGGAATGTCATGGAATTACAACATTTTATTAATCAGTTATTAACCTCTAAGGATGACAGCAGCTTACAGACTTATACACATTTTCCACTGCAGGTCCAGCTGTTTTTTGTCCTAGTGCCCACTAGCATCCAAACAGGAGAGTAGAGTGTGTGTGATTCACTTCACTGCCAAGGTGACTGGCAAGGGGACAAGCTGTGAAGGGCAGCGGCTCCTCTCACTGCACCTGCATCCGCTGCTCTGCTCTCCTCGGAGCTCGCACTGATATCCTGATTTATAGGATCTTCCAGAGCCAATTGTCATCAGCAGGCCGACGGACCAGTGAACCTTTTCTGAGGCATTTTGTGTACACCAGCTATGTGGCGCCACTTGATGATGTCAGAGACCCATTAAAAGGGGGCACCTGTCACACTCTGGTTCTGCTCTGTGATCTGTTTACCAAGTGGCCAGTTCAACGTCGGATAGCGGATCTCAAAAGCAGGTCCGTTTGTTCTACAGAACTGAAATTCCTCTGATTATTGGCCCTTATTCTTTCCAGATCATGCTACTTCATGCATCTTCTGGCTTTTTATAATTAGTGTGAGGGCAGATTTTGAGTGTGAAAGCCTGACTCGGTCCCGATAGCCGCAGGACAGGGACTCCGGACTGAGGAAGTGCGCCCACACGTGGTATACATTCACAGTGGACACGTATGCGTATGTAGATGTGGATGCCATGCAGGAGGTCTGTATAGAGAGCCTCTCAGCCACGGGAATAACCGGGGGACTGGCTCCATCGTGCATCCCCCCCCCCCCCCCCCCCCGCATGCTGGTCCGAGGGACCGCATCTTCCTTTCTTCCGTGGCTTTCCCTGACCTCTTTCAACCTGCATCTCGTACTTGGTGCTCTTTCTGTTAGGGTGGCATCCTGAGACTGACAGGCCATCCAGGGCACAGTGGGGCGTTATGCCTGTGAGCCAAGTACTCACTCCATGTTTCCATTCTGTAGTATTGTGTCTCTGTGGGTGTGTGTCTGTATGTATGTATGTGTGTGTGTGCGTGTCTGTGGTCCAAATATACCTTACCTTGTGGAGACCAAATGTCCCCACAAAGTGCTGAATACCAGTTTTTTTGACCTTATGGTGACCAGTTTCATGGTCCCCGTAAGAGACAACCCAATCTTCTGAAAATCTGTGACTTCAATCAAAAAACAAAAAATGCAAAAACTCTTGTATTTTGGTGGTTATTTATGGTTATAATTAGGGCTGGGTAGAGGTTAAGGTGGTCGTATCTAGCATTAGCATTTGTGGTCCCCACAAAGATATGATTGCAGGTTGGTGTGTGTGTGTGTGTGTGTGTGTGTGTGTGCCCCTATGCAAATCAGTACCGGCTCCCTAAGACACTAACACCTCTCTTTTGCCCCAATGTAAGACTCTCTGGTCAGATCTTACATCTTCACTGTCCATCCATATGAACAGTACAGTAGACCTGGGCTTGTGAGATCTGGCATTGTATAAGCCTCAGACAAACTCCCTAAATAAACTCAGCATGTGCTTATTTACCTCATGCCAAAGGCCTATTCACGTCACAACTGTCTGTAACGTCTGGCAGTAAAGCACGGCATTTCTGTCACCGCCGTGGAATCCCAGTGGATCCCAGGTCTACAGCTCCCCACTAGGGGGCGTTAGAGCGGCTGGCCACACGCTGTGACTGCTGCTGGTTCATATGGGCCCTTGGGTGATGGTCTGTGCCACATGACGGGACACTGCATGATCGCTCGGCCTGCGAGGCTGAGGCCGGCCTGCCTGTGTGTGTCTCTGTACTTCTCAACAGTCCGTAGGAGAATCTCTGTGAGATCTGGTGGATGCACACCAATGCAGTATGACGCACGTATCACTTAAGCCAGAGCACTCCGGTGCATCTGTGATCTTCCTGAACAACAGGAAGTGGTGCTGGGACATTATTCTAACCTAATGTGAATGCAGATAATTCCATCGACCTGCCGTAGGTGATACTTCATTATATATAGATGTATATACTGTATATATATTAAAGTATGTCAACAGAAGGCAGAAAATATATGGATTGTAAGTCTAAGTGGCCTTTGTGTCTCAGATTGTCCTATATGTACCAGACTTGAGAAGGAAATAATGAATTATCCATGGTGCTGAGGGCTCTTTTGGTTAGAGGCTGTCATAAAGGAGTCACGTGCTGCTGTCCTGCTGACTTCTGCAGAATCTGAAGCTCATACCCCAGCTTCTCAAATGACTGCAGATCTACTGGGAAAGCGTTATAGCCGCGCGCCAGTGGGGGCGCTGTTGTAACCAAAACGCAGGCTTTTTTTCTGTTTTCTTCTTCTCTCAGTCTCTCATATAGATGTCTTTCCTCCTCCAAACCCTTCCTTGTTCCTGTGTGTGCTCCTGTTGTCCGTGTCCCTCTCTCTCTTCCTCGCTCCTCCCTCTGTGTCTGTCACTGTCATTG